TCCATACAAAGTGCTCAACTTAAATTTTATATCTGTTGTTTTGTTCTTTTTTACTTTAATTTCACTTTTAAAATAGAAAAATGAAAACTAAAGACGGCGACATAGAAAATTCTGCAGGTTCAGTTTGACTGAACCTGTTCAAGGAGGTAGTGTTAAGTTAAAGTAACGTCCATGTTTAAAAAATCGAATCTGCAACCTTCATGTAACTTTGTTATTCCAGATTTTTATTCGAGAAATACAGGTCACACAGATATCACTGTATTGCCAAGTAGGTCTAATGCTAATTGTTTTTTATAAGCTAACGAAATAGTTGTGGACTTTCATTAATATTAATGAGAACAACACAACGAAAGTCTTATTCAGTAAAACGTCATTTATATCAAATAATGGTATATAACTGAATACATACGTTCAGCTTAGCAACACTTTAAAATGACAATACACGATTATAAAGATAAATATTTGTTAACATTAAGAAATGATCATTCCTTGTAGTCCTTTAAAAATAAATTAGTAATGGATCCAAATTCCATCGTTAAGCACCCCTTTTGAAAAAAAACATTACTTCATGTAAACAATCAACCAGCTAACGCATCAGTTGTTACCACTTGTCTCAGGTGAACATTCCAATCTATATCCCGCTATGAGATATGTTTATATACGTATATCATTAAACCTCAATATATCCGCTAATTTAAAACTCACATAATCATTAAAAGTGTATTAATCGAATATCACCTTCCTGGTGTATCACTATGGGGTGCATAACTCCTACAAATCTGTAATTCAATGTTGTACTAATTAACTCCCTTGGACTGATTATCATACTTGTTCATAACAGGAACAAAAATGTTGGTTGTAAGTGTATCTTACCTTGTAAATATTTTATATTGTAGATATATTAATGTCCGTTATTATAAAATGAATTGCCGTCATATCAGTTGAGAGTGAATATTGCAAACGCTTAAACTGGAATATATTCACTTAGTTTGCCTCGTGGTTTATAATTGTTTTTGGGTTGACATTATCCACTATCACACAGACAGTCGTCTTTTTATGATATTGCCAAGTTAGACAATGGTACTAGGTGAGGGATATATGGACATGCCGACAGCTCATGACAGCTTATCTTTATTTTGACCCAGGGTAATGTTTGTGGGTTTCTTCTCTTGCTAAATCTTCCTCGAAATCCTACAATATAACAAGTTCAGGAAATTATTATAAAGCTAGTCTGTATCCCGCTAGATAAACAATGCGTTTTTAACAAATATCATAACAGTTTATAATGATGATCAAATTTTTAAATATATATTACGTGTTTGATAATAACAATATCTATGTTCGTGAAGTTGGCAGCCTAGCAGCCTAGCAGCCCAGCAGCCTGAAGTTGGCAGCCTAGCAGCCTAGCAGCCTGGCAGCCTAAAGTAAACTAAGAATAGTACAAACATGAAATCGTCGGATATGAATCGGAAGCACATACTTAGACCATTGCACGTATTATTTCAGTATCGCGATCTTTATTTTTTTAAATATTGAACTTTGTTTTTTTTTTTATTTTTGACGCTTCGAAATTTGTGAAGTTAGCAGCCTAGCAGCCTGGCAGCCTAAAGAAAACTAAGGAAAATACAAACATGAAAACCGTCGGAAATGAGTCGATAGCACATACTTAGACTATTCCACGTCTTTTTTCAGTATCGCGAACTTTATTTTCTTAAATATTGAACTTTGTTTTTTTTTTGTTTTTTTTGACACTTCGAAATTTGTGAAGTTAGCAGCCTAGCAGCCTGGCAGCCTAGCAGCCTAGCAGCCTAGCAGCCTAAAGAAAACTAAGGACAATACAAACATGTAAACCGTCGGAAATGAGTCGGTAGCACATACTTAGACTATTCCACGTCTTTTTTCAGTATCGCTAACTTTGTTTTTTTTAAATATTGAACTTTGTTTTTTTTTTGTTTTTTTTGTTTTTTGTTTTTTTTGACACTTCGAAATTTGTGAATTTAGCAGCCTAGCAGCCTGGCAGCCTAGCAGCCTAGCAGCCTGGCAGCCTAATAGCCTAAAGAAAACAAAGGCAATACAAACATGTAAACCGTCGGAAATGAGTCGGTAGCACATACTTAGACTATTCCACGTCTTTTTTCAGTATCGCGAACTTTTTTTTTTTTAAATATTGAACTTTGTTTGTTTTTTTGTTTTTTTGTCTTTTTTGACACTTCGAAATTTGTGAAGTTAGCAGCCTAGCAGCCTAGCAGCCTAGCAGCCTGGCAGCCTAGCAGCCTGGCAGCCTAGCAGCCTAAAGAAAACTTAGGACAATACAAACATGTAAAAGTCGGAAATGAGTCGGTAGCACATACTTAGACTATTCCACGTCTTTTTTCAGTATCGCGAACTTTATTTTTTTTTAATATTGAACTTTGTTTTTTTTTCTTACTCTTCGAAATTTGTGAAGTTAGCAGCCTAGCAGCCTGGCAGCCTAACAGCCTAGCAGCCTAAAGAAAACTAAGGATAATACAAACGAAATGAGTCGGTAGCACCTACTTAGATCATTCCACGTTTTATTTCAATATCGCGATCTTTATTTTTTCAAATATTTAATTTTATTTTATTTTTCATTCTGACGCTTCGAAATTTGCGGGATTAAACATGTTTATCACACACCCGTGCCGATTTTGCGACTCCCTAAATATGGTATTGCACGGCCGTGCATATATTTTGACGTGACGTTATAAGCGTTATACAAATATAATGTAAAGACGCGCTAAATATTAGCGTTAAACTATAGGCGCGTCAATGAAAAATGACTCTTATTTCACTTTAAACGGTCTTTATTTTGGGTATGGGATAAATAGAATATTAAATTCGTGTAAGTTCATTACTGAATTTATTGCACTCGATGAATAAAATAATATTATGCTCGCCAGAGGCTCGCATAATATCATTTTATTCAACTCGTGCAGTAAATTCAGCATTGAACTTACACTCATTCAATATCCTCTATTTTCGAATAATGTAGGAAGTAGTCTTAATCTTAACATTTTCGCGGCTAATAATGTCGCTGTCTATGGACAATAAGCGACGTCATGTGACTTATTCATGATATGCTATTTTGTATGTATATGTTTATAATGAAGTTGACGATGTTCAACGCATATTTATTTTAGGTCTGTAAAGATAAATCGGTTGAAATGTAAAAAGATATACAATGCATATGTTTAAACGAACACATTAATGAACATAAAGATTATCTGAACTTAAGAACAATACCCATTTGATCAATAGCCGCGATACTGAAAAAAGACGTGGAATAGTCTAAGTATGTGCTACCGACTAATTTCCGACGGTTTTCATGTTTGTTTTATCCTTTGTTTTCTTTAGGCTGCTAGGCTGCTAGGCTGCCAGGCTGCTAACTTTACAAATTTCGAAGAGTAAAAAAAAACAAAGTTCAATATTAAAAAAAAATAAAGTTCGCGATACTGAAAAAAGACGTAGAATAGTCTAAGAATGTGCTACCGACTCATTTCCGACTTTTACATGTTTGTATTGTCCTAAGTTTTCTTTAGGCTGCTAGGCTGCTAGGCTGCCAGGCTGCTAGGCTGCTAACTTCACAAATTTCGAAGTGTAAAAAAACAACAAAAAAAACAAACAAAGTTCAATATTTAAAAAAATAAAGTTCGCGATACTGAAAAAAGACGTGGAATAGTCTAAGTATGTGCTTCCGATTCATATCCGACGGTTTACATGTTTGTATTTTCCTTAGTTTTCTTTAGGCTGCTAGGCTGCTAGGCTGCCAGGCTGCTAGGCTGCTAGGCTGCTAACTTCACAAATTTCGAAGCGTCAAAATAAAAAAAAAACAAAGTTCAATATTCAAAAAATAAAGATCGAGATACTGAAATAAGACGTGCAATGGTCTAAGTATGTGCTTCCGATTCATATCCGACGATTTCATGTTTGTACTATTCTTAGTTTTCTTTAGGCTGCTAGGCTGCCAGGCTGCTAGGCTGCCAGGCTGCTAGGCTGCTAGGCTGCCAACTTCAGGCTGCTGGGCTGCTAGGCTGCTAGGCTGCCAACTTCACGAACATATATCTGTATACATGCGATGACAACATAAATGTCCGTGACAGTTATCAGAAAGTTATATCATAAATAGCAGAATAATATTTTGTTCCGGGACATTTTATTTTGTTAACTTACAATATTTATATTTGTATTAATTCATTACAGAGACCTTCTATAAAAATTCTGTGAAAATCGACAATAAGCTCGCGGAACAACATAATGTTACCTGTTATAAATGTTATAGAACTATTTCAAAATATATTAAAAGATAGATAAATCTTATACATAATTAGACATTAATTTTATAATAGGGTATACCATCTGTACTCTTACCACTGAGTTAGTGATGAGCCAGATCAAAGATTGATAGTGCGAAACTGGTTTTCAATAATTGGTTAGTATCTATAAAATAAACAGAAAACTAAGAATGAGGTATAAATGCAGCAACATTTACAGTCTGATCTTTATGATTTTCACTTTACTTATACACTTTACACGAAATACTTTAATCGTAGGTCGCTTGCATTCGGATGTAATAGTGTCTATGTTCTGACGTTTATAAGTCACAATTATTTTCACAAACTTACTTGCATAACAAAATTAATAACAAAAATGGATTGTTTCAGGTCTAAATGATGTAATATGGACACATATTCATTTCTTTCTGAATAATACAGTTTAAATTAGTATTATGAATGGAAATGTTAAAAACGCTTTGTATGATAAAACAGCGAGTTTCCGATTTTCCCGTCATAACACTATAAAAAGGAACCGTCATCAATATTGACTAAACAATCATTCAGATTTTATTAATATAGGATATCGATTTTAAGATATTAGACTGCCTATAAAACAAACTCAAGGGGATAAGTATGAAAACTGCACATAGCATACCTTTACTGTGATTTCAGCAAACCAAGATAACGTAACCTAGCTGTTACTTTTGAAGTGCATTATTTATAATACCCAACATTCAAGATTGTTGACATAAAATTAAATTACGCTTCCTTTTAGCAGGTTTTTATATTTCAAAAGAAAGAAAAACCCAGAGTTATAAGATGTTAAAAGGTAAGGTAATATTTAATTCATTTTTACTGTAGTGCCGAATTTAGCATTTTTTTAATGTAAAAGTAATTTGTTTCAGATGACATTACTTTGTGACTCTCTTAAAAAATACGGGCGATATGATTGATCTTTAATACATTCTACGACAGCAACATTATTTTGTTCAGCTGTGTTTCATTACTTTTGAACACTGATGATTGAATGCCTATTAAATTTGTTAGTACGTAAGGTAAGAGACAACATTTTAATTGGCTAACAAATACGTTAATATATCGAAAGTATATATTAGTTATTTGTAATATTTATTAAGAATTGATTGATTGATTAGTTGATTGATTGATTGATTGATTGATTGATTGATTGATTGATTGATTGATTGAGTAATTGATTGAACGGAACAGCAGACTAATTTCTGCAAAATTTAATCCGAAAAGAACACATTGAATGTCCCAACTGGTGGTGCGATTTGGTTCAGGGGTATAACATTTTCTTAGTAACTCTGACCACTCCTTGAAATACTTTAAAAGTGATAACATCTAGATTACCTTTATATGCTCTTTATTTATAGAAATAAGAAAGATTTTTTATTAATTTATTTTCTATTTTGAAAATCATCTTCTTTTTTTAAAATAGATCATCTTCTGTGATAAAACCTGGTTTCTGCTAGTACCTGATTAAAATTAAAAACATCATTTACATTTGTTGTCAAAAACCACACCACTACAAATGATAAAATAATTATGTTGATCAAAATGACAATAATCACTAGAACTACACTGTTAGTTCTGCTTATTCTACAACTGCTAATGCCTTTAAGCTGTTGTTGTTATGACAACAGTTATCACTCTGATGTTACTGCTGCTGTACTTTGCTTCTGCTGTTAGTATTATTTCTGATTCTACTGTAACTAACGAAGATGTTCTAACAGGTGTTGCTAGTTACTATTGTTACTTCTGTTGATGATCTAACAGGCGTTGCTTTTGCTTCTATTGTTACTTCTGTTAATGTTCTTACAACTGTTGCTTTTGCTACTACTGTAAACACTTCTGATGCTACTGCAGATTTGCTTCTGTTTCTACTGTTGCTACTGCAAATGTTCTTAGACTCTTTCTTCTTATACTACATTTGTACTCTCTGTTGCTACTACAACCATTATTTCTGCTACAACTGCTAATGCTCTTACAGCTGTTGCTTCTGCTTCTATTGTTACTTCTGCTTATATTCTTCCTAAGATAATGTAAGGATAATCATTTTTTTCACCAAATACAGTCATGATTTATTAACTATTTTAAAAAGTCTGCTTCAAAAGAAACATGCCAGCCATGTTCCTGTAAGTGTCAATATAAACTAAGTAAGTTTGACCCTTTACCAATATTTCATAATATTTTATGTATAGTACCACAATGTAATGTTATACGTTATTTAATGCTTTGTGCACTGAAGTTTCGGAGAAAAATTTTTTGACATAAGTCAATGTAAACATTTTAAGAAAAAACAGAGAAAAACTGAATCCCTACAGAAAACACGACAAAATAGAAAATGTTGCAGGCCCGGTTCTATTGAGCCTGTTCATGAACGGTACCGGGAAGTGCAAATTACCGCCCACGCCCGCTAGCACCAGTTTAAGCAAAATTCAACATCTTAACACGAAAAAGATGATTTTTTTATTTAGAAACATCAGCAGCAGATGTGTTCATGGCCGTTATCATTGAACCTTCAAAGTGACACTTTCGTAACATTCCATAAAAAGTGGCTTTTGGTCCCCAAGTAAAGGAATGCATGTGCCCTAAACGAAAGAAAAAACAAAGTTTGAAACTAAATAAAATGGAATTCTGAAAGGGAATCTGAGGTTATGAAGCCCGTATATTACAGACAAGGCATCAACAGACAAATTCAAAAAGCAGTCAACATATCCTAAGGTTGATTATACAGTATTATACAGTTAAGCCATTTTGGTCAGCAGAAGCATGATTTAAAGGCCTGTCAAGTTACTAACTTGTTCAAGGTCTTTTGTTAGTAAACATTCAATTTTATATTTGCATTTGTAAGAAACTAAAAAAGGTCAGTAGAGATAATGAAATATAGAGATTTTGTCGAGAGCATATCTACTACACGCATAGAGGGATTCAAATGAAACTTCATAGAAAAGTGCACAACTATAACAACTATAAGACTCAGCGTCATGCGCATGGACAGGTCTCTAGGTCAAATGCCAAGGTCACATTTAGAGGTCATTGAAAAACACTTGTTCGGAGCAAAACTTCAATTTGCATTGAGGATTTCAATATTACTTGGCACAACCATTGTGCGGCAGAGTGTTGCGTGCAAAATTAAAGTCCTTGCGATCAAGGTCAAGGTCACACATAGTGATCAAAGTTCCCATAGAAAAATATGAAAATGTGTATTTGGAGCATTGAGTCATCATTTATTGAGGGATTAAAACACAAATGGTCATTGTAATGACTACGGGTGTGAAACATGTAATTTATGTTAATATTTTTGTCCAGTAAATATCTCCTACACGCATGTTGGGATTCAAATGATGTTCACCACTTTGAGAAGCAGTGTCACATGCATGAACCAGGTTTATAGGTTAAAGGTTAAAGTCACAATTTATGGTAATTGTGAAATGCTTGTTTGGAGCAAAACTTATACATTCATAAGGGGATTTTAATCTTACTTGACACAAATGTTCACCATTGTGAGGCTAAGTATTGCGCACATAATCCAGGTCCCTGCTGTCAAGTCAAAGTCACATAGAGAGAACAAATTAAGTATGAAACAGAAGATGTGTACAGGGACCATCTAGTTATCATTTATGGATTGTAACACAAATGATAACTATCATGACTACAAGTGTTACACAAGTAATTTAGGTTAATATTTGCAAGGTCAGGGTCACTAGGGATGATAACATATCCAGATATTGTCAGGATATTACCCAGAGCATATCTCCTATATGCATATCTATAATTAATGTCCATATCTCTGTCTAAAGCTTTTGTGACGGGCGTATTTTTTGACAACGTTGCCCTTGTTTTAAATATTATTATGAAACAAATAATTGCCGAAAGGTTTCGGTAATTTCCTGACAAGATTAGCAGCTGCAATTGTAAAATTGTTTTAAAATGGTTTGCAACATTTATTAAGTTGTCGAAAGCATTGAAACCTTTACAATACCGGATGAAATGTACATTTTTAGACGACATATCTACTTATTTAAGTGGATGTAATAAAGATTTAGAATCATTTTCTTTCGATACAATACAGTGTTTATAAAATCACAAAATTTGCTTAGCATATAAATTTTTGTGTTTTATGTCTTAGAGATTTCAAACAATTAAAGTTATCATCAGTTTTAACTTTTTGGTAAAAGTAGACTTTTTTAAACTATTATTTGAAAATTTTGCATTATGGTATCTCACTGTCATGTTGAATTAGAAATACAGTATATTGGATATTGACAATAATATATAAAAAATGAAATATACGAATTTCTACTAACATATGAGTATGACAAATCATTTTCTTAATATGTTGCAGGAAATGGCTGAAAGTATATTGGAAGACAACCTAAAATTTTTGCTTTTAGTTGAAGGTGTTGTCAAAAAAGCTCAAACAGAGACAAAAAATAAGAATTCAAAAATACTTTGTGATGGAATAAGATACTTTATCGAGACCTGGCTTTATCTGGTAGAACGAATAAGCCCACTTTATAAAGTATCAGAATTAATTCCAGTTGGAAGTTATGCCGAGGGAACTAAAATAATACGAGCAGACGAATTTGACTTTTTGGCTGTTATTGAAGAATTGTCAAAACCGGATGTGATAAAGATAGATGTAAATGAAAGCGACATTAATCAAGGTTTGGTAAAAATCGTAGTAGCAGACGAAACATTAAAGTTAAAATGGAGTGGACTTTGTAAAGAGGGTCATTTGAAATGCTTTCAGCCAATAAACTTTCCCAATAAAAATGAAAGCAGATTTGGACATGTTGTTATTCAAGCTTTAAAAGAGTTTATAAAAAGCTCGAAACAACTAGAACTCTCAATCGGATCGCCAACTCACATCGATTGCAATATTCCTTTATGTAAAGTAAATGATACGTTTTTACATTTCAGAGGAGCTCGTTTTAAAGCACCTAATGTTATCTTAAACTTTGAATACGGGAACAGAGAGGTATCGGTTGATGTTTCACCCGCAATAAGATATCATAAAATCCACGATTGTTTCAGAGTAGATGACTGCGTTGGTCCAAAGTTTTCTGAACTTGTCCTTCGTCGCAAATCTCTGCTGCTTGTCGGAACTGAAAAGGAATCTGATTTTAAAGTGACTGTAACGGAAGCAGAGGTTGAATATATATTGACTGTCATGAAAACCGAGCACAAGATCATCTATGTATTTCTCAAGTATGTCAATAAATTATTCACGGAAATTTATCCTTCCTATCTTACACTTACTTCATACACTCTGAAAACAGTTTGTATTCATCATGATGTGAAGTGTGCAAAGAACGAGAGATCCATTAAAGAATGTTTAAAATCAGTAATCATTGATCTAAATGTTAGTTTAGAGCAATATTTTGTTGCAAGTATAGTAAATAAACATATTAATCTTGTCAAGTCTTTTAATAACGATGATGACAGAGATTATGCTGTCCGAGCTCTCAATGAAATTTGTCAGTTGCCTACAGAAATTGAAACCGTTGATGACTTTGAAACATTTATGAAGCAGGTTGCTGATGTTGAGCGACTGAAGAAAGTGAAAGGTACAAGAATTATCAATGAAATTATAGTATTTTGTTCGCTTATTACTTATAAATCAAATGCAAAACATCGCAATCCTCGTGTTTCTGTAAAGAGCAATTATTTTTTTAAATATTTGCCGTTTATTAATGCGTTGTTTATATGATAAAAAAAACTGGAGCCTTTTAAAGAGAATGTTTATCCGAGACAAATGTTGGGGTTTTATTACACTGATGATAAAAACAACATTTGGACAAATGATTTTGCAATTTATTTTAAGTTTTTTTTTTAGTTTTTACTTCTTTCTTGAATTCTAAACGCAGTGCTGATTCATTATCTGAATACAAAAAAAAAGCCATTAATGCAAATGACGAGTTTTTATTCATGATTTTTCTTTACAGTGCAGATTATGTACAGAGATCTTAACTTGTATATAATGAGATTACAATTACACTTTCGATTAATTGTGACATTTGAAATACTGCCAAACGTTTAATTTGTGCTTTGTCATACACAGTGACAGACATTTTGTTTTTTTACTTTGTCGACAGCTGCAGAGGAAGCCGCAAAAAGTATGAGGGAAATTTCTGAAATCTTTGCTACCGAGCTTCAAGAAAAAGTTTCAAATATTGTTGCTATGGGATTTGATCCTGATGAAGTGAAAGAGCTTGTACTAGGTCATTGGGATAGTCCTGAAGATTATATTATAAGAATCCTACAGGCTGAGTGGGTATGTTCTATAATGTCAATCATTGCTTTATTTATGTTATGCAATCTTTGATTTAACTTTATTTTTATTAAAAACAATACTTAATGGAGTATTTTTTAACATTTTAAGAGACATAATTATACTGTAATTGAGGATTATGCCATTAAGAGCAAAACGACACATTTATTTAGCTAAATGACAAAATTACAAAATCATGAGAGTTAAACCGTTTTCCAAAAGGTATGCAAAAGTATTACAGTCAATGTGAGTGACATTCGTATTTATTTCACGGATATAAAAACAAGTACATAGTTTAGTGTAACATCATATTTTTTTATTCCCCTTCCACATCTACGTTGCCACCCTAAAGGTGCATCCAGGTTGCTATCCCCAAAGGTCAAGATTACACTTAAAAGTCATATGATGAAGTTCATATATTCCTGTCTGATGCTTTTCTTTTCAATTACTTTTTAATAAAGTTTTTAAAACGACTTTGTATCAATGGTCACAATAATGACATGATGTGTGGAGTGCAATGTTCAGGTTGCTACCCGCAAGGTCTAGGTCATAATAGAGGTCAAATGTTAAATGTAAACAATTTTGTGTTCCCTTCATAACTTTTTAACTTCTGATTTGTTTAATTATATTGGCACAAATTTTCATCATCATCACCTACAGGGGCGACAACAAGGTGGCTACCCCCAGGGTCAAGGGTATAACATATCCAACGGTCTTGTAATTCTCACCTGAATGATGTATAAAGCATGGAAACTATTTCAAATACATGTAATACATTTGAGTCACAATCAAAGTAAAAATAGTTTAAACAGGACATATCACTTAAGCCCACGGAACAACTTTTTTCCTAAAGCATGATCAACCAAATATATAAGAAACATGTTAAAATATGAAGTCCTATATTACTCATGGTTACCAAGACCTTGACCTAAAAATTCAAATAAAATTAGAGGATTTTCAAGGATATGGATATGGAAAATAAATGGTCAATAACTGTAACAGACTTTGTGATAAGCAAATGTGCTTTTGATATACATCGCACAACATCAAGGTCACGGTTAGTTAAAGCATAAAAGGTCAAGAGGTACACATTCATGTCTGCTATGGAATGGGATTTAGCTGTTTTTCAGACTGCTTTGTTTCAATTTGTAACTCATTATGAAATTAAATTACATGTACCGTATAAGTGGTTTTTTCTGCGGTGACTTTATTTCTGCGTTTTCTGCGGTCAGTTTCGGCACCGCAGAAATAAAAACCGCAGAATATTTCTCTTACCTGCTACGAAATGTTTCCTACATTGTGACCTGTTTCGTCTAAAGTAATAACGACTAACAAATTTTAACTGTTAGCGGGTTTCCAGTTGTATAAAATTGCTGTCGGCTAAGTATGTAATCTGTGTTTGTTAGGATGTTGTTATTGTTATTAGGCTAATTTAAGAATAAAGATATTTAAAAGCATTCCAACCCATATACTTCTAATCGTTGTATACTTTAATTGTCATCTGATTTACGGTAAACTTCTAACAATTTTATTAAATTAAAATAACTGCCGGGGTATATTTTTTACACGTCAATTCACGCTGATCAAAGATGTATACCTTTCTATTGTTGCGCATTATATTTGTTTGCAAGCAAACCATATAATTCTTTGTAATTACTATAGAGTTCTGCGGTTACGACGGTGAACAAATGCGAACGTGTACATGCATATATAATAGAGAGGGTAATGTGACATAGACTTTGATTAGACGAGTTGCAGAATTTAAATCACGTTTTGTCCAAAGAAAGTGCCGCAGAAATAAAGTCCGCAGAAATAAAAAAACATGCCAAAATTTGGAAAAACCGCAGAATTTGGAGCTCGCAGAAAAAATCACTTATACGGTATATGACTTAATTGAACCTGTAAGTTCTTTATTATATGTTACTAAAGCGCGTAAGGGAACGTGAAAAGAAAAAGCTTAAAGTCGAAGAAGTCTGTTCCGCAACTCAAGGAAAGCTAGTGTCTGACACACATTCTGTCAACGAAGAACATTTAAATGGTGATGTGCCTGAGGAGCTATCAAGTCAACAAAGTAGCGCCACTCAAATTTTGTACCAACGGCAGAAAGATGTTTAAACATTTTCTAAACAGTCTCAGAGTACAAGCAAAATGTTTGTGATACACTCAGCGATGATATAAAGTTTTGTATCTCCCTGAAGTTCGTGTCTTCCAAGAGGGTCACGATGTTGAAACAATTTTTAATATTTTTATACAAAAGTATTGGCAGTATTTAGAATAAATTGAGAATGTGCGGAGAATTATGTAGATTGGCAATGGAGATTATACTTATACAAGATCTAAAGTTTTGGATACAAAACCTTTAATCCCATATTAACAGTCGGGTAGATTCGAAATGAAATGAAAATGTTAAACTCAGTTTTATTCTATATGTGTAACAAAAAGTTGCTATCCTGCAATGTTTAATTGTTAAGGGAATATAAATAAATAGTTTGTTTTAGATGATACTGAACGTACTTTCATATATTTATTATAAATTCTATAAGTAATTACCTATGCAATATTAAATGTTGTAATGAGACAGAGTACGACCAGAAGGTGATCACCGATCCACTAGGTAAATAATGAACCCGGGGACCGACTTATTTCACCGACTCATCTCTTACGTCTATTAATGTCTTTAACAATACAATACCAAACTTCATTCAGTCAATTACATTAACATATGGTTAGAACTAAAACAAACAAGAATAGAGTAGTTCAAAAACATTAACAATTCAAAATAATTCTAAAACAATCCATATACTTTGCTCACACGTCTCATATAATTCTTATTGAATGGCATATGTACTTCTGTGATTTATTTGACGTACATTTGATGAGACTTAAACTATTTGAGCTTGAACTTGTATACGTCATATTTCGGATCAGACTGAGTCAAACTGTTGTTACTTTATTTGCTTTCAAACGAAATTGTGAAAAATATCAGAATCTTTAAGTCGCTTAAATCAATATATGTATTAAAACATTAACATTTCAATATCTTTTGTTATAAGTTAGTAACTACATGTGAAACACTTGATAGAAGAATTCAACAGCGGAAAAGGAAACTTAAAGGAAGTTTATACATGATAAGTTCAATGGGCACTTAAACTTCCTGTAATTCAATTTTTTGTTGTTTTTATATCATAGATATGATGCTAAATGAAGATTCATCAATATTGTAAGTTCTAAATAGCATTATTTGTTAAGATAGTACCGAATTTACATTTCACGTAAATAAAGGGAGGTAATTAGAAATTTATTTTCTGAGTCTATTTTTTCAATTAGAAATGAATGCATGTATTTTAATGATTACATTTAATGTGGACATATTTAACATATTCTTAGATGTTAAAAAATTGTTCTAGAAGATAATTATATACAAATATAAAATTTCACTTAAGTATGGTAACAACCTTAATTACAACATACCGTATTTTTACGTAGCGATTGATAGTATAAAGTAAAATCTCGCATATGCTGAGCTTCGTCGTTTGAAAGAATTTTAAAAAAACCTTCCCGCTTCATACGTTGAAAGGCTGTTATTTTCCGCTAAAATTGCATTAAAGAAACAAAATGGCCCAAACATTGCTATCAAACTTCAAACTTTGATTCTACACTATAAGATGACCCTAGCTTACATATCTTTGGCTCAGAAGTAATAATAGTTTCCATCGAAATCCATCGTGAAGCTCCCTGGTGGGCGTTCCTTGCCAACTGGTTAACGCCGTTGGTATAAAACCACTGTGGGTTCGAATTGCGCCGGGGACATTCGTTCATGTGACAAAACTGTCAAGCTAGCAATCGGAAGATCGGCGATTTTCAAGTGCCTGGGGTCCTTCTCCACAAGATAAAATGCAGAGAGTCGTGCGAAGTAAAATCTTAACACAAGCAGTAGCGTTGCTAAATAAATGTTAGCAAAATACAAGTTCAGTCAACTGTTAACAACTGTTGTTCCATTAAGTTGCATAAAAAAGAAAAAGCTACATTTCGTTACTTAAATGTGTTTCATATCGATTCCGTTCTTATTTTGGTGTCAAAACATTCAAAATGAGTTGTGTATACCTTAAATTCTGCTACATCATTATGGCTTAATCGGAAGTACAATTTTTATTTGCATAAAAAAACTCCGCCTTTGGAACATCCGTACATCATTAGAAAATAAAAGAAAAATCTTAATCAGTCGTCCAATTTAATAGTATATTTCCGAATTATATTACGGATGTTTTCATACAAATTCGATCTTTTTTTTTAGATGAATACGTTTTGTAAACAACATAGCTAATACACCGTAAAACTGAAACAGTAAAAGTGTGTTTGTTCAAGAATATCTCATAATTGCTGTGATCTACATAATAACAATTGATTTTACCACTGCACTTGACGTGACACATACACGTGCTAACTATAGTCTTCATTTGCATGTTTTAATTCGTATACGAATTCATCCAGTATCCAGTATATCTAGAAAGTCGCAAGCTGACTATTACATGCAGTGGCTTTGTTACTTAAGATAAAAAAAATCGTTATTACAGCAGCATGCCTCTAGATCGAAATCGATAATTAATCGCACGCAACATGTAAATTATTACTTGAATCTTGAATAACTGCTTTAAACTTTTAATACATTTTTCTTAAAATTTATTATTTTGAAATATTTCTCATGTTTTATATGGAGCCATGCAACTTAAAATGAAATAATTTTAGTTTTTACCACAGGCAGAAGTATCAAACCTGGGAAGAAAAATATGACGAGATTGATATAAAAAAGCTGTGTTCATCTTAAATGTTTAAAAAATATACAGTGAAGTATGGCCCCCCTTCAAATATACTATCAGTGGAGAGAAAGGGAAGAGAAAAAATTGTCCAGATAAATAAAAAAAAAACATTCATCACTATTTCACGTTTGTATTAAGCCTCCACCAAGTCTATGGCCATTCCTTTTCAGGCAACGAGCGAATTTGTACGGTGGCATAGAGGTGAAATAAGTGCGTTTTTATTTATCTCGTGGGCACGAGGTATTATGTCGAGGTCACGAGTGGTGCACACAAGATACTATGTCGTTACCAGCCATGAGTTATTAAGTCGCGAGAACGAGATAATTAAGAAGTGCATACGAGATAGTATGTCGAGGGCACGAGTTACAAGTCGTGCGCAGGAGATAATTAAGTCGAGCGCACGAGATAATTTATCAAGCAGATTACACTATATACAATGTTTATGATTTTTCTAAGATAGCTAGAAATGTGCTATAGGACAATGCTGCCCCTACTTCACCTGTCTGTCATTGTGCCATATATTTAAGTTATTGATAAGACAATGACTTTACATTTATCTTTATTGTGGCCCTGATTTGTGACTCAATGCCCTTAGAATTATTATTTGTCATCTACTGAACAGGTTCAATGTACATACTAGGTTATATAAACCATGGCTTTCTTCTTCTCAAGTTATTCATCACACAAGCATTTTACATGAAATGATATGGTTACCTTGACCTTTGACCTATGACCAAAACATCAATCTTCCGGCCATACCAAAAAAATAAACCAGGGCTTATTCCTTTTCATGTTAGCATATGAACGAGGTTAAAAATTGTTCAGGCCGTTAGTGCGTACATACTTAACCGGGTTAACAAAATTGCAGCACAGTGTTTCGGAACGTACACATAGAGTTATACGTGTTTGTCAACCGAGTATATATACGAGTCTAAATCACATGCATTTACTGGATATCTTTAATAAAGACATCAAGTGGGACCACTCACTGTCGTCAGTAGCATCTGATACATGCAAGATTCGAGTTTCAAACCTTTCCACTGTCTTTCGATTGCTTTCTTAGCCACGGTGAATTAGCCGTTCGGTATTTTGTAACGAGTTCTGACTGGTCAATGGCAATGAAACCGCAACGTTTCGCACAAGCTAGGATGCCTGGCATTAATTTGACATTTCACTTTTTACGCGACAACCATCAAACTATCTGAAAAACAAGAGCCCCGCTAGGCGGAGCATTATATGCTCGAAAGTGTTTTAGTTAGGATGAAGCATTTATAAGACATGGGAATTAGCTGTTCATCCTATGAAATTTTACAGCTGTAGGTTGATTAATACTTTAGTTATTAATAATGACCTTAACCTTTGACCTTGTGACCCCAAAATCAATAGGGGTCTTCTACCTTATATGGATAATCATCCTAAGAAGTTTTAATATTATGGGCCAAATGGAACTTTAATTATGCTCTAGAAACTGTTTTCAGTATCAAGGTAAAAGTGACTTTGAACTTTGACAATGTGACCCCAAAATCAATAGGGGTCTTCTACCCAATATGGACAATCATAATATAAAATTTGAATATAGTGGGCCAAATGGAACTTACGTTATGCTCCTGAAACTGTCTTTGGTTTTAAAGTGATTGTGACTTTGACTTTGACCTTGTGATCCCAAAATCAATAGGGGTCTTTTGCCTCATATGGACAATCATCCTATGAAGTTTGAATATTGTGAGCCAAATGGAACTTAAGTTATGTTCCGGAAACTGTTTTCAGTTTTAAGGTTAAAGTGACATTGACCCTTGACCTTTTGACCCCAAAATCAATAGGGATCTTTTCCCCAATATGGACAATCATCCTATGAAGTTTGACCATTGTGGGCCAAATTGAACTTAAGTTATGCTCTGGAAACTGTTTTCAGTATCAAGGCAAGAGTGACATTGACCTTTGACCTTGTGATCCCAAAATCAATAGGGATCTTCTGACCAATATGGACAATCATCCTATGAAGTTTGAACATTGTTGGTCAAATGGAACATAAGTTATGTTCCGGAAACCGTTTTCAGTTAAGGTAATAGTGACCTTGATCCTTGACTTTTTGACCCCAAAATCAATAGGGGTCTTCTACCCAATATGGACGATCATCCTATGAAGTTTGAACATTGTTGGTCAATTGGAACCGGAAACTGTTTTCAGTATCAAGGTAATAGTGACCTTGACCTTCGACCTTGTGACACCAAAATCGATAGGGGTCTTCTACCCAATATGGACAATAATCCTATGAACTTTGAACATTGTTGGTCAAATGGAACTTAAGTTTTGCTCCGGAAACTGATTTCAGTTTTAAGGTAATTGTGACCTTGACCTTTGACCTTTGACGCCAAAATCAATAGGGGTCTTCTACCCAATATGGAAAATCATCCTATGAAGTTTGAACATTGTGGGCCAAATGGAACTTAAGTTATGATGCGGAAACCAAATTGCTAACGGACGGACGGACAGACAGACGGACGCCAGGGGGTATAACATAATATGCCCTTTCGGGCATATAAAAACATTACTTTTTGTAAATACCTCTTACACATTTGCGCTTAAGAAATTGCACATTATAACTCACGATATCCAAGATTGATATAATTATACTAGTAAATGTAACAATTACTCGACCCAACTCTTACAATGACAACAAAGAACTATTTTCTCTTTTAACCTTTCATACCGGTTATTAGATATCTGAGATTTCTTTATACATGTACAAGTAAAAATAATCATTACTTTGACCTTTACCGTACAAAAATACCACCAGAAGATTCTAAAAAAAAATTTGTTTCTAAAACTGGTATTAAGCTATGATATGCTATTCTTTGTTATTAAATTGAGGATGAGTTCAATTTAGTGTCCTGCTTATAAAGATATAACAAATGTACATATATACATATACATACTGACTATTATATGTTTGCCTTACATGTCCAAACTAATGAAATGTTTTTAACTGTACACAAAGGTAAGTACGTATTATCCTTCATGTCATCGTTTATTTAGTTTGACCATTAAATATATCATGTTAACGTTCATGTCATTGTACGTTTCATGCCACAATACGTATGTCACAGATTAAAATTATATGTTAATGGCAGCTGTGGCTTTCCATGGTTTCAATTAAGTGGAAATTGCGTGCACGCACGTTTTTATTCGGTTGCTTTGAAGAAGAGGATGCAGTTTGCAT